CTCTCTCTCTCTCTCTCTCTCTCTCTCTCATTGTTTCTCTATCTCTATCCAGCACTTTCTAGCTCACACAGCCGAATAAACCGCTATACTATCCGACAGAAAGTTGAGAAACTCAATAGAAGGAATAGTCCGTTCGTTTCTCTGCCTGGCTACGACATGCGTGAGAGGTGAACCAGATAACACGTTGAGTGCGCTTGAAAATTGTATCAATGTCAATTGTCTTTATATCATGCTACGGTTGAACCCCTCAAATTAGTTTAAATGAACAAAAAACACCCAATGTACGTTAAAGTACTTACCGCTGTTTTATCGTGCTCTATGAAAAATCTTATTACTCTAAAGATGTTCTATGATTTTCTTTTCTTCTTTTTTTTTTCAAAGTAAGTCTTTATAAAATAGATAATTTAGGACGATGTAAATGAGAAACTCGAAACAACTTCAATGTTCTCTCAACACACCACGATGTATATATACTTCTTGTGAAGTGGCAATCTCGGAGGTACTTTTGGGGGCTTCACCAAACGTGAAGAGCCGCAAGAAAAAATGAAATAGGTAAAATAAAGGTAAAGTTAAAAATGATGTTATAGATACCAGTCTTGCAAAGGCTTGTCTTACATCATATTCGAATGAAACAAAAGAATATAATATGTAATCGTAAACAATGAATCAAAAATACGAACACGTGAGTATATATTTTTAAACAATCTTAAATATAAGTATAGAGTGCATGAGATTATTAAAATAATGATTAATTAATCGAAAGAAATTTCTATTGTTGTTTAAAAGCTCAGAATTTATGATCTGTGCATCGTCCTCCTCGAAATTCACCTACAGACTGGCACGTTGTTCTCTATGAAAAGAATTTTTAGTAAATGTTGTTTATATGATATTCCGAACTTTGCGCATGTGTATAAAGGGAATAATGCAGCTAATAAATAAAATTTAAGATTATTACGTTCTGATTTTATCATTTTTATCATTTTTATGTAATTATTTTAACGCTCCTGCGCAGTGATGACTTCGAGGGTAAAATTTGAAAAAAATGACTTTCTAGTAAAATTTTCCTATAAATATTAGATTGTCCCATAAGTTTTTTCCGCAGTACGCTATGTATGACTTCGAGCCGGCTATATATGTAGACATGCAGGCTTATCTATTGTCCATTTATGGTATCGATTTC